TGAAATAGTAAAATTTTGAATTTAGAAACATCCGCAGATGTGTTCATACGGCGGTTATCATGGAACCTTCAATGTGACACTTCCGTGCCATTTCATGAAAAGCGGCGTATGGTCCCCAAGTAATAAAAAGCGTGTGCCCTAAACGAGAAAACAAAGGGCAGAACTAAATAAAATGGAATTTTGAAAGGGGATCAGAGGTTATGAAGTCTGCGTATCACATATAAGACGTCAAAAGACAAATTTAAAAAGCAGGCAACATATCCTAAGGGTGATTCAACATTATTCAAGTAGGAATATCGGAACCACCCAACTAGAAAATGCCGAATAAGCACAACAATAATGTCGTGCTGAACGATCTACAAGGGTCGAAAATATAACATCATTGATTAAATGTACGGGGAGACTTTTTACAGCCGCCACACGGCACAAATAAGCCAACGTATCGCTCAAGATTCAGGTCAATAATATAATCCGGCAAACTTCCCGTGCGGCTATTTCGGTCACCAACTAAATATACACCCCTTTACCATAATATTTACTTAATTCGGTAAAAGTCATACTGACATAAAAAAAGAATTAACATTTCTTTAAACCGCCGAATTTTATGAGGTATGAAACAAACATAAAAAATAAGCATCTTTGTTAGACTGTAAACACTGTTTATCAATTTTAAATCAGATTAAACCTCTACGATCAATACTTAAAAAATATAAAATTTTTGTAACCAATTTCAAAAATATCAATTACCCCTCCACTAAAGCGCTCTGCTTCACTACTTTGAACAGGGACAATTAAAGCAATCATAACAGTTTATAGGGACATCTTTATGAAGTTTCATTAAATACCAACATATCAAATGAAAAAGTCAGAGTCTTGTAGTTTTGTACCTAAACATTGCATATTCCCTTAAAAGAAACGATATCTGTCACTGATCAGATAACTTGCTAGAACTTTCAACCGAGTTTACAGTGTACATTTTATTTTCAATATACAGTTTGTCATATGACATGAATGCTGTTTTACCATATTTTTTGGCATTGATCCGGAAGTAGAATTTTTCAGCAGTCTTGGATCGACTTCGTGAATTGGTCACTTTTGCTGATCATTGCTTTCACCTGTGCTGTCTGTTCGTCTCCATTCATTGGTTCCACAATTTCCGGCGGCGTAACGCCAGGAGTGTCCGATCCGCCGGCACTTGTACCCTGAGGCTTTGTAGCACCGGAAGATGATAGTCATACTTTGCTCTAAGCCTGTGCGCTCGATAAATTTTTAAAGTTTGATCGGCATTAATTGGTATTTCATATACATTGGTCACAAAATCAAGCACAAGCTTAGCATAAATTTCAGTCTTTCGCCATGCTGGTGATTTTTTTGTTCGCAAATCAAAAGTGTACACATCAATGTTTGTGGTTAAATCTCATTTTATTCAAATTAAAGGTCAGAGTAGAGATCTATTAGATAAAATATAATGTGTAACAATTCTAACGCCTCCTGGACTGGTAATTACACCTAAAGCAATATCTAAATTATCGATTTGTCAATTGAAATGTATTACAAATTAAATGAAATAACAAAAAGTAAAATTCCAAAATATATCAATGTTGATAATAACTTAATAAGCCAATTTTTTTTATTAAGAGGCGGTATATATGTTCTTTTTGCGTTACTGCTTTGATATTGTCGCAGTTGAAGAATGCAATCAAAATGGATGTATCTTTAAGTTGGTCAGGATATTTTGTAATAAGTTTACTAACGGCTTTATCTTCTGCAGGTATGTGTATTTTAATATCTCGTTACAACATTCTGCATATGATTTTTGATTAATCGATTGATTGATTATTTTCACTCATTGAGAATGCAAAAATGTAATTACTACAAGTTTTTCATTCATTACATATTCATTCATTCATTCACGATTGATTGATGAAAATAGTTCATTAATTCTCTTATTGATTACTAGTAAATGATTTATCAATTTTTAAAATTAATTGTTTTATTTCTTTTATCATTTTTGTTTGAACAGAGATACAAATGTATCATTTACGGAGTTTGATTGAGACCTTGCTTTGAAATCGAAAATTAACTATTTCAAAAAGTAAACAGTAAAAAATCCTTTAAGTACTTAAATTAGGTTAATGACTGATTTTGCACAATTTGACATGTTTTTGCTATTAATCATGCTTTATAGAAATACCGCACAATCATTAATCGCATATAAAATGTAAACTTGAATCTTTATACTTTTCTTAAAATACATTATAAAGTACATTTTTTTCAAGTTTGATTTTCTTAAAATATTTTGACTAATCTGAAGGCACGCAACTATAAAGTATTCCTAAATCATCACATTGACTCGTCTCAAAGCAACTCGAAGTAGTATTTTTATCCTTTAGTATTAAAATAGTTTTGTGTTCAACATTTATTCTCTATCTTATTGATGATCGATGCCGTCGGTTTAGATCTTCGCTGGAAAAACGTACACTTTTAAAGCATCTGATACCAATCACATTAGTTTTGTTTCAAAAAGTTCATATATTTGTTGCTTTAGAAAACTACTTTAAATGAAAATGTCTGATTAGTTATATGAAAAAAACATGAATACCGTATATAAATCACCTTAATTGTATGAGATATAAATAATTTCTTACAAAATTTACATACACATTGTTATTTCCTTTATAGATAACACTGATTGTAATGAAATTGAAATTCGTTGGATTTCCCATAATACCTACCATATATTGAATGTATGGTCCACAGACAATTGGTATAACATGTCCTTCTGGGGTGGACATACACAAATACCTTCAAAAGAAAATATAGGAAGTGACTGTCGACATGACTCGGGGACTTTGGTTGCTCTCAAAGGTTTTAATAGTCATTAAAATTTCATACATTTTGACCATTTTTATCTTTTTGTTATTAGAGCATACAAATGTTATAATCATTATTATCATCATTTATTATTATTCTGGCGTGTAAACAATTGATGTGTCAATGTTTTGTGAATGTGTTTGATCTTGAGAATTATTGAGTTTGCAATTTAACATACATACAATGTGAATCCTTTTTTGTGGTATAAAATCAAATAAATGTATTGTTCACTTATTTTCTTTACGTTTTGCAATTTGTAACTATTACACCTTTTTTAAAAAGTGAAAAACAAGTAATTTTTGGAAACACTTTAGGTTATTCTTTTAAGAAAATTGAACTTTTCCGATGTGTTTGCCTTATCTTTTAACAGATGATCATCCAGACATATCGACTGTAACTGACGATATAGTTACAGTACCGCTGTGTGGTCTCAATGAAAATGGAAACTGCAAAGAAAACATCGTTTTTGAGATGAGAAAATGTCATGGTGACCTTCTATATAGATTTCCTGAGCAAAACTTCAATGTTTTAGATAGACTTAACCTGTATATTTGTTTTGGTAAGTTTTGTATTGAATGTACAAGGAATTATACAAGATGAAGATGTTAATATGTTCTATGAAATAAAAATAGGATAACCAAGTGAGGCTTACAAAAAGAAAAATGAGATTAAGAAGTAAAACGATTTAAACTGACAGAAAAGTCCCACGAGACAGAATACGTTATAGCACACTAAGATTATCGGTTCAGAATAAGATCAGAAACAACATTCCACACCTTGACATTTTCAATTCTACTGATAAAATCAGTTTTGTACGTTTATACTAAAAAAAAGTTTATATTTTTATAAAGAACCTAAAAAGTTGGTCTTATAACTAAATTAAGTTAGTGTCATAAGATTGTCTTTTTATATATTTTTGTTTGTTTTTGTCTTTTTTGTAATCTTAACGAAAGTTTCAGATGGCTATCCGTTGTCACTAAAGCATGGGTCACTGCATTTTTTGTATTATCTTTGCATTGCATTTCAACAAATGGTTCAACACTAATGCTAAGTTTCAATTTGCATTCTGTGAATTTCATAGTTTGTAGTTTGAAAAACTTGACATTTAAGTTTTCTCTTGAAAAAGATAAAAGATATGTTTATCATGCATGACTGATTTCACAGTTTTGTCGTTCTTTGTTGCGTCCAGTATTTAATTAGTCGAGCGTAATGTCTTCTCTGGCAGTTCTTTTTATACAAAGATATCGAAGAAATAAAGATATCGACTAAAGTTTTTTTTCTTTCAGATCGCGTATACAGCAAAAGTAGTAAGTATAAATATATTTGTTTTTGCGCGATTTTCATCCGAACAATACTAGTTTGATATGAAAACCTTAAAGGATTTATATCAATAAAAATTTACAACAGTCCACCAGATTCATGTGAATAGTCGTGAAAATTTATTCAAAGTAAAATATTGTGAAGTGAACAAAGAAAGTAATTAACAGATTGCAAACGGCACATACAATCCACACATAAATAACTAAAATAGATGTGACTTTTTGCAAATAAAGCCCTTACTGCGTAAACTATAGTGATAAATACTGCAAAATCAGTCATTAATCGCAAAAAAACATGTAAATAATTACTTCAATCTCGAATATTTTTACTTTCTGAAAATCTTAGTACATTTTTCTCGAGTTTGATTTTCTTGAAACATTAAGCTCGTCTATTTAAGGACAGTTTTAGAAATATATCGTATCTATCTATCCGCATGTGCTTGTTATCATACTTTTAAGGCTTCCTTATTCATACAGATATTGAATAATATATTATATGAATTAAATAATATCAGTCAATTAAAAACTTCAAATTGAATGAAGTTAAAACAATTGATAGATTTTGAAATTGGGATGTTTCGAAAATTGACATCTGTATACACTATATATCAAGAAGAACTTGCTGTGTTCATATTTACTTACCGTAAATAAGCGAAAAAGTCTCTGTTATACCTTTATAAGCGTTATACACATGATAAATAATCACGGTAGCTGATATCATATGCCTTATTATATATATTTTTATGTAAAATTGAGAAACGTTAGGTTGAGGTAACTATTTGTCTAACTAAACCAGATTGCGACGATACAGAAAAAATCTATCAGCATGAAATTGGAACTAAGAGAATCATTAACGTCGAGTACTGGGATGCTGTATATGGGTGGCTAAATGGTTTTATAAATGGAAAACAATTTGTTCCTCAATCAAAAGAAGATAAAGATGAAGCCTTTAGCGAATGCCTGGGTTTTCAAGAGGGATTCTTTCTTCGAGGTATACATTCATTATAATGCTTTATGTAAACGTTCTTGCAGTGCGAATATTGTTAAAGCAAGATTAAGACAGACAAAAACTTTGACGAGACGTACACATCAAGAAAGAGAAGCAGACAGCCTTAAACATTCTTAAAAGAATAGCAAAATTATTTTGAAAGTAAAAATAATCAAAAAACATTTTTTTATTCACTTGAAGTAGTAACAAAAGATAGGATAAATCACACTTTTGTTCTAAATTGTTATGTAAATTGTATGCAACACCTTACTACCTTGTTGAAATAATGCATAGCATTTGTTAAATTTAATCCTAAAAGAATAATAATCATTAAATCCAATACTAACAGTCTGTGGTAAATACAAAATTCAAATACAATTTTAAAACGCCTTACCAAAACACTGGCACTGTTTACCATTGAATTTGATGCTATGTTCTCGCGTAAGACAAATAGGTGTTAGAAGTTTAAACAATTTTTGCTAGCATTCTGATTGTAATCAAATTAAAATATTTACATAACAGTTTAAGAGAGAGTGTTTGTGGACTAAAAATGATAAAAAATGAAAGTTATCAATTAAAGAAATCTGAATATTTTTGTTTATGTATGCTTTTCTGACGAAAGACTAAGTTCGTCTGAAGTTTAGCATATAAAAGCATTGAAATGAATTGTTTTTGAGCATTCAATACACGTTAAGTTGGTATTTGTATATTCCCGATAATAACTTGGTGAATGCTAGTCATAAAGAATCCAAACTCCAAATTTAGCGGTCTTGGATACATGTGTGGCATTTTCTTTTTTACAGTACTTTCACACATAAAGTCGGTAAGTCATCACAGTAATAGCCATTTGGTTTGATTAAAAGCGGGTTGTTTTGGTCCGAAAAATATAGTTTGATATTTACAGATGTAAGGACATACAATATTGATCATGCGTTTGTAAGTTGTTTTTTTATTCTGTAGCATATGATTTGAGTTAAATAATAAAGACAAACAAAAGTTTCCTAACACGAAAATGTATACTATTGTAGAGACTTTTCCAAATGTAGTCAGTGAAACACCAGTGAGACTGCCGATGTGTCGGGATTACAAAACTTATGACGGCACATGTACTGACATGTACTTTATGTATGCCAGAAGGTGCAATGGACATCTACAGTTTGATATATCATTCATAGCAGACTACGGTTGCGACAATTGTTTGTGCTTTGGTAGAGTATGATATTTTCATTAGATAAATAATTTAAGAAATGAGTCATTAGGAACTTTTGGTCATCATCATCATCTATCTGATTTATTTTAAAATTAAAGTCGTATTTTATTTAAAATCAAAAAGGAGTTTAAGGTGTTTCAGCTTTGTCAGCCATGTTTGTTTCCACTTAGTGGGCCCAAAGTGAAAGTAGGCCAACATTCCTATAAAAACAAAACTTACTATGTCAAATGATGAACTGTTTGCAATGACACTTCCAGGTGAATGTTTTAAGGACTAATATAAACAAAAATAAAAATGAGTTTTGCCTTGTATGTGCTGAATTTCTGAAGGCCAAGTACAATCTGTTTAAAAGTGTAATGCACATTTCACGAATGGCAAAATCCTTTGGAAGTGCAATTGCATCATTTCATCATTTTACATTGTAAGGAAGGTTGTAATATGAATTTGGCCTATTTTCACTTTAGATCCACTTAGCAAAAACAAACATGGCTGACAATGCGGAATCACTTTAAACTCTGTGTATTCTTTTTTCTTTCGAATTATTCAGAATAAATTTTCTGTTTGGTTGAACAGCCTTCTTGTAGGCTAATTGAAATAAATGTCTTTCAAATCCAATACAACACAGCTATTTTTAAATCATTTCGCATGTGCTAAACATAATTATGTATTTTAGTGAAACTACTTTCTTCAATATAAACATTGAAATATAGGCTGTAACACTTATTTGTATTAATCGTTTAAGTGCACCATGGCAATGTTAAAGTCAAACCTGAAAGTGGTCATGAAATTCTAAATACTGAAGTCAACGGTAAATTTCGTAAGGCGTACAGACCCTTTCTGCAATACAAGTGTGAATTTGAGATGATCGATGGAGAAACGTATATAACAAACTGGTAAATATAGTAACATTTTCAATTACTATTTGATATTATCACTTTAATCTCTGTGGTTACAGTAACACATTTTTCAGAACAAATAATATATACTCGTATCGGTATTATGATTCAAAAGAATATTGCTGTTACATAAATCATTTGATATCTATTACAAATCAAAGCACCGCAAGCACTGAGATATACATTCCTTGACAATACGGTCTCTATTTGTGTCATCAAGACCATTTTGTTTTAATATACATACCTTAAAATCAATAGAGGTAATCTTCTTGCTACTTTCAATGTATATAAGAAGTTACACAAACAAAGGCTTATTTCTTTGCAAGTTATTGATAGGACAAGAAGAAAATTCTTTCAGACTAGGGATGTGCTTTTCCAGGCAAGATGCTAATCTATATGGTGTGCAAAACTGAAGAGAGATACAGAAATCAGTTTTGCGAATCACCTATTTATTATCTACAGTATACAGTATTGAAACAGTAAAATGGAGTCTTCATTGTGATTTTTCTATTACTTTAAAATCATGACGAACATGAAGGCTTGTAGGCTCTAAACATGTAGAATTGAATCATCCAGCATGTCTAAAAGTAACGTGAACATTTCCGTTCACATGCCAAACACACACACTGGAAAAAATGCACGCCATGGTTTTTACTATATACATATAAGGAAAACCTATGACCTCCGCGGGGCCAATTTTGACCCAAAGACTTTAATTTGAACAATCTTTGGAGGTAATGATTTAAAATTGTTACTAATATACAAATAAGGAACAAAAATATGACACACCGGGACCAGTTTACAAAAGGCAACATTTGAACAATTTTGGTAGGGGACCTATTGAAAATATTATACATGTATACCAAGTATCTAAGCCTTAAACCTTCAGACAAGAAGATTTAAAAACATACTCTATACATATAACAAAAACCTATATATATAACCTCATGGGCGAGACCAATTTGACTCAAGGGCTATAAATTGAACAATCTTGGATCTTGGTTTCACTACACAATGTTTCATATTATATATCCAACCGCTAGCTTTTTTCAATTCGGAGTAGAAAATTTCAAGTTTATACTACATACATGTAGAAAACCCGTGACCCCAGGGTGGGGCCAATTTTTACCCCAGGGTTAAAATGTTAACACTCTCGGTGAAGGTTTACCAGATCATGCCTTATGCAAAATATCTATGTTCTAGGCTCTGTGGAATTCTTTAAAAACCTTTGGAAACCATTCACCCATGGAACAATCCTGCAAAGTTTGATATTGGACAAGATATTTATCACAAGAAGATGTTTTAAGTTCACTATATAATCTATAAAACATGCATACACTCGCGCCAAGCATCCACACACAGTTGAATCGCTATATACCACCGCAGCTTCTACATGCATCAGGCCGGCAGTCCAACATATATTTTCGAGACAATAGGATGACAATTACATTGTTTATGTGTCGACTCAAGACTAATGATATTAAATAAAAACTTTTTCACATTTGAAATAAACTTTTTATGAGGTGAGATACATTGTAAAGTCAATTTCATGGACCTCATTGGAGCTAGGTGGGGAGAAGTGTGGGAATCCAAAGATTAGTGAATCACGTTTTTAGCATGTGGATTTACCGAAAAAGTGCATTAGAAAGTATTAAGCGCATAATATGCTATAATTATATCAACATTTAAGCCCAATATCTTCATTTTTATGTTTATTATAAAAAAGATTTCTTTTATAAAATCTACGAATTCAGTTTATAGTATCTATTTGCATGGAATTTCATTACAGTCTGTGCTTTTCATGATATCATACACAGTGCCAGTAATCTTTTCGGCACCTAGAGCTACTCCAAATAAACAAATAAAGTAATTGAAGCCCAGAACCTTGAGTGCACTTCCTTACTGAGTTGAAAACCGAATCTGAAAATCACTGCCTTCTCGGTTCAACCTGTCTCGACTTCCGGACCGCCTCTGTCTTTGTACAGACCACCCTGTCTCATTGTCTGCAAGATCCTAAACGTATGGCCAGTTGGGACAGTTTAATGTCAACGACGAAGACTCCATTTAGTGTTTCTTTTTGTTGTATTTTTTTGGCAATCCTTAAATAATTTTACAATCCAATAGGGGCAAATGTCTGCCTTATTATCCAAGTGACATTTTAATAATCTTGATTATAATCCTTTCAAATTATTCTCATCATGTACAATAAAACTCACTGGTGTGGAGTTAATTAAGGGCTTCTCACCAACATACAAACAAAGGCAAATTAAAAAAGTGTACTGTTACAATGTTTTATCAAAAGCAAAGTCACATATATAGACAACAGTAAATATTTAACAATATTGACTTAAAACATTATAAATCATTAATATATTCAAGAAATATTTATAAATATCATAAGTAGGTTAAGAAAAAAAATGCAGCCTCACTAAGACTTAAACCAGACACCCTCAGAATACATGTACCATACCTCAGCACCACCAAAAAAGCCAAAATCTCTTGGAATGCCATACCGCAGGTCTACAGCTTAAATATTTTCTCTCATCTATGCCTATGACATAACCCCCACTATATTGAAAGTTGTCCTTTTTAATTTGCACACTTAAGTGACAATATAAATTGACTTGGAGTTATGTACCGCCATAGCCTCATAGTGGACCCTTAAAGTAACAGGATGAAAACGTGCAGCCTGACTGGAGCTCAAACCTGGCATGTATTGAATATGATTTTACAGCTCTACCAACCTACATATAAGGATTCGTAATCATATATCTTCTCCCCTTATTATTGAACAGTTTATACTGTGACATCCCTACCATATTAAATTTTTTCTACAGTTCATTGCATGAGCAACATAGAATAATTCATATCAGCTATATATCACATTTTGCGCCAAAAATCACAGGGTCAGAAAAATATGCCGTTTGACCGGAATCAAACCTGGACTCCTCAGAATATTTTACATGTTTGTGGGCTGTACTGACTGAGATATCTAGCTGGCATGTCATTAATTAATATATTATTATTGTTTACATGCATGGGCATAGATATCAAAGAAACATTCATTGATAATGACCCATTATTAAAAGTAAATCATATCAGAATAATCTCTTGAATATGAAACCATTTAAACATTTGATTAAATTTTTACCAATTATTAACAACACTACCTTCCTTCTAATTGGCCTTATCAAACTGATCCAGAAGCATTGCATTTTATAAAAAACAAACAAACCTTAAATTGAGATATTTCAGCATAACTGTATAAAAAGATTCAAGATTAAAGTAATGTAAACATGTCGTTTCTTGCTGCACATACATGTTCATACAATGATACAATATAACTTGCCAACATGTCACAATTTTATAGATAATTATATTTACAGAAGATATGATGAATATATTGATACAAATATTATTTGTGACTGGTTAATAACTTTAAACATGTTTTTGTTAGTTGTTGCGGCTAGGAATTTTATATTTATTCATTTAAACCTTGGTTGTCAGTTAAGATTTCATCATAAAGATCTTCAGGAGGACTCTAAATAAATTAATATTTGTGGTTTCAGGGGAAATTAAAATACTATTTATGCTAAATCAAAGCCATCATGTTTGAAAACTATCATGTTCAACACCAATCAAAATATTTAATTGAAAACAAATCAAAAATACATGTAGGTAAATTAAATGCGAGTCATATTTCATTCTTCATTGGGGGCTATCCCCCGGTCAATCTTCTTAAATATGACTGCCTATGCAATTATAAGATCATACCCAGTCTCAGCCGGCTTATAATTTGTTCTATTAATATTTATAGAGTTAAGGAAATATTGTTAAGGGTGGCTCAGTCTGAGTGAGTGATGTGATTATAAAGTGCTTCACTTTTGGACAACAATACTTATAAATAATATATTTTTATTTTTAAACTTGTGAGATATGTCAGGTCAGACCTATCTAGTACTGTGTTAAATTGGTGTACATTAACAGTTGTGACAGGGTTCATGGTGGAAATCTACTGGGCAGCAAAAAAGAAATCTTAACTACAACACTCCCTAAATATATCATCACTGGTCCTTCAATAAAGGGAAGAGAATGTCTAGCAAAATATCAAGTCTCAAAAATATCATATACTGAATTTATATTTTGATTAATTCTAATATGTGTCTATAGTTTGTAAATATATTGTAAAATGATGCGCACTAGTCTGATCCTCCAGGTCTCGGGAAGAGCCAACCCGCCGACAAAAATACTAAATTGTTTGGTGGTGCCAGGTGAAAACACGGAAGTATGAGAAAATGTGTAATTTGTTTTTTTGTGTGTTTTGCCTTGCAAAGCATAGAAATGCTATGGCACAAATCTGCCACCAAAATATATTCTCATCTGTCCAAAGATATACATAATAGTACATGTAAATGCGTAAATATAGTTTTCACTTTTAAAATGAACTGATATAAATAGTACTTTAAATGAATGTCTTGGCCCTTTTAAGTATATTACTAGTAATAATTACAATAAAATATTAAATTTTTGTACTTTGGTACTTTGAGGGTCAGAATCAAATCCTGGTTAAACTGCACATTTTTCTCATCCTGTGGCTGCATGTGAGTTTCATTCACATTGTTCTGTAATCCTGAGGACAAATTTCAATGTAGCGGAGAAGTATATGTTACAATTTAATAGAATTGTTCACTATTTAGGGATGATAATAATGTGTAACAGGCTGTTGAACGGTAATCTGAGGGTAACTCGAGGGTTAGCTAGGTGTTCAAGTACCTTACATGCCGAGACATTTCAATATTAATCTTTAAATAAGAAAATAATTTGAGTGACTGTCTTCATATATGCAGACTAGAATTATTCTCTGGAAAATTCAATATCATAAAATCAGGATTACTTTAATGGGTACTTTTATAATTAGAAATGATACAAAACTATTCATAATTTGAAAACACTATATGCAGGAATAAACTAGAAAATGTTTAACCCTGTGTAGACTAGTATTCTTCTGTTCAACAATCAAGCATAAATGTAGATCTCTTATTTTGACTTTTAAAATATTTTCAATACATAAATCGATATCGACAGATATAACAATTTCCTGTACATGAATTAAATGTATCAAACTATTTCTTGTAAGTTATACTGATTTACAGTAAGTAACAATCAAAGCCGTGATACGCGCCTTGATTTTCTGTTACAGAGCTCCATATATATATATATATATATATATATATATATATATATAATATATATATATATATATATATATATATATATATATATATAGTTGTATATTATATATGCTCGTATTGTAAAACAGTTTGGAAAAAATATGCAAGTATAAATAAGGATAACTTATATGATTTAATATCTATTTTGAAAGTTTGCATATATTTTTATACAGATTGTGACAACTTTTCTATATTTACGATGACTAGCGTATACAATTATTTTATCAATGAAGTTTAAATGTTCATATTTTTGCTTTAATGTGTAGGAATGTTTCGTTCAACTAAAAATGCATAGTTTCGAACTTTCAAACCGTTTTTACAACGATGCAAACAATGTTTTAATAAAAAGTAATCTAAATGTAACAATACTGCAAAATGAGAAACTTTATTTTATCGAGGTTTAATCCGGAAGGCATTTACCCTATCGAATGTGGAAATGCAGCTGTAACTCTGTATTCATTGCACAAATATTTCTTGAATAGAAATGTTCTTCTTTTCCAGAAAATCGCATGCAAATTTTGTAATTATTGTCATATAAATAAATACATATCATTGGCCACATTTGAACATGAACTTATGTTATTAATTTTGATAAATAGAGGATATTTGTTTGTTTTGCATGTAAGATAGAAATATATTTTCACTAAGTTATGCAATATTTTCACGAGTGGCGTAGCCACGATTGAAAATATAATAGCTGGTGTTCATGAATGAAATATAATATTATTTCAACCTTATATGTAAAACAAATTAATTTTCTTTTTATTTCATGCTTTCATGATTTTAAGTATTTTTTTCTGATTTTGCCGCGTAACGTCGCGCATTCCCCTTTTTGACGTCATCATATCATGACGTCACATCATCAATTTTGAAATATAGTTCTGTTAAATTTCTCTAATTTTGTTACATTTTTAACATGATGTATGGTGACATCGACTTTCTTTTCCTAAAGAAGCAAAATTAACGCATGACGGCATCTATTTCTGCCTGTTATTCTATTTAGTTATGGTTTTCATTTCATTCGCATTCTGATATTCCGGCTACAGTGAAAATTATATTTCACAAATTTCACTTTTGGTTTATCAGAATATTATGATCTGATATATTACAATAAAACACTGGAAAGCATGAAATAATAGAGAATAAACAGTCACTTAGTAAAACATAACTTTCTAAGGTATGTAAACGGTACCTTCAAAGTTCAGATGGGACCTTCTTCAAATCAAGACGAATTTCTATATAAAGAAGACTCTTTATCAGCTCTTGGACCTGGTTATGAGGTAACACGAACATTACTTAATATATCAAAAGATTACCCTTATAAGTTTAATACACTTTATTAATTCACTAATATTTTCATAATTTATGTAACGAGTAAATTATTCATACTTTCATATGCATTTTATACATTTTTGAGTTGCAACTTCATATTTAATTAAAACGTTTACCTGTTAATGGCTTCATAAATCAGTTGAGTTGAGCATTTATTTCAATGCTTTTTACATCATATGTTTCGGAATGTTATAGGGGTTTTAGTTTGAGTCAGACACTGATTTAAAGGTAATATGATAATTATCCAGTTGCGCGTTCTTTCTGTAACAATCGGGCACCTTAATGATTTGAGGTCAGTGACCTTCAAATGTTCATTTTTACTATTTGTTAAACAAGAACTGTTATTTAAAATGACTTTGAGTGGTTGTACTGACCATCCTACCATTCCTAGTTTTTATATTTCTTTTGGCCTACAGGTACAATGTGGTGTGATCACGGTGGATAGAAATGAGTCCCTTGAAGTATTTAGTGATATTTTCTACGCAGGATTAAAAGTAAGTCATATATCTTGGACTGAAAAGACTTAACACTATCTTATAGTGTTAGACATAATATTAAAGTTTCATCAAGAAGATCAACAACAACAATACGCATGTTAATAATTTCTGGCATACACATTAAAATATACATGCACATTGTATATTGTATAACGTGATAATTACTAAAATACCATATGTGTTTTTTTTTTCAAGATTAAGGGCGGGGCTATCACGCTGAGTAAGAGCGGTTCTGCTACCGTTGATATAGTGCAGACGATTCCTATAGGCTGCTATTACACTGACGACGACGAACCAAATTGTGAAGAAAGAATTACGTTTGAAGACGAATCATCTGTGTCTGATATATGTGCAGGAAAACTTCGAGTACAAAACAACGCTGATGTTGGAAATTCTTTCGTAAAAATAAAGGTGACATATAAAATGTATTTATTTCATATTATATATATTTGAAAGCCGCGATCTGTGGCAAAATGTGGATTCCTATTTCGTTGTGCTTAATATGATTAAAAATTTCTTAATTGTTGACAATTCAAATATACCTGACTTTGAAACTAGCATTTCGGTTACAAACGTCTTGTACACGTATTAAAGATGCATGCATTTAAAGATTAAGGAAACCCTCTAATGGGACCAGCCAAAGGGTTCCATTTTCATGTTTAAAATGTGTTTAAAATGCATGTTGCAAACTCGTGTTTCTTAAGCAACCTGCTAATGCGAAAAAAAGCTATCCAGCTAGCTTACGGATCGTCGGTGGTTCTACTCACGTTCAGCCTTTCTTGTGCAGTTTCACTTTTTTTTCACTCTTTTTATTTTATTTTAATCAAACTTGCACCGATTCTGTAATTCCAGTAATCCTTGAATGCTTTCTAAAGCTAGCGTGATCAAAGCATGAATTGTAAAGTGAAACAAAATGGAACTTTATCTTATCTGCATGATAGCAGTTTAACGTGGTTTAAAAATATCTTATACATAACTACTATAACTGTAAGATCTCGGATAAACCAACACATCAGAACTTTTAGTTAAACATTTACCTAACAAAATAGATCAAAACGAAATCCTTTAAGACTTAAAAAGCGCCAAAAATTTACCTTCATGTAAAATGGTTGAATTTTAATTAAATTAATAAAATGATCATAGCCTTGTTATCAAAATATCAACCGAAGCATTAATAAATTAAAGAATTGTTCTCATATTTGAACATGCTAGACAGCCCTGTCATATTGTCCGAAATAGATATTACATTGACCCATGTCATGTATGCATGTATAAAAATCTGGAAACAAAATGATCCCTAGGAAGCATTAATCACAACAAAATAACTAGAGAATTGCAGACTCGGTTTGATTGAGTCTGTACATGAGGGATAATGAATACGTTTAACATCCCTCACGCCCCCCTAGCACCGGCTTGAGCGGTACTCAATTCTCAACACTCAATAGTGCTGACATCAATAATCCCGAAGGACCAGAAAAATATAACGACACTGAAGTCTGTACATGTGTGTCATTGGAAGTGTTATAAATTGATGGTTTATGAAGTTCTTATGTGGAAAAAATATACATTAAGGAAAAGCATTCATGTTTAAAATTTGTATTTCTTGGCCTTAACATGGTTTCTTATTTATATTTATTTGCAATCATTGGAAACAACTTTTGTTTTTGGAGGCTTTTGTGGGTCTTGGATATTTACTTATGACGTATTTTCATGGACTTCTGTCATTCACCGGGATCAATGTTAAAAATGATACAAGATGCAATTAGATTTCGCTACTGTTTTCTCTTTTTGAACCTTGATTTATCAACAACATTTATAAGTGATCTGCATTCCGGTGACTTAAAAACACTTAAATAGGGGTTGAGTTCATTGAGGTTAAGATGTATGTAGAAATAAATTAGTCTTAATTACCTCATCTAAGATTACATTCAATTGTATTACAACCAAACATTTGATATGATTGCCTAAAAAGGTTATAAACTTAAACAGACATTGTTTGCAAATTACCATAATCTTTCTATTACACACTTGTAATTATCTAATTAAGGCTATAATTTTCAGGCGAAGGACTAACGGCCCTTGTGCATTATTGTTGTAGTGAATATTTGTGTTTTATCATCAATCTGTATTGTTAAATGGGTCAAAATAAATGGATAGCTAGATTTGCATTGAATATCATATTTACCTTGAATATTCAATGCAAACGGGGTATGTAAACGTTTAATTATATTTATAATAAACTAAAGCAAAATTTCAATAGATTATTTTGTAAAGATATTTATCAAAAAATTTAACAATTTTATAAATTCAAATTGCCGATGTCTATTAAAATAATTTGAGACATTATTGAAAACGTTACAGATCACCTTTAAACCATCTGAGCTATTTACAAACATTTGGTATATTCATTGAAATTACGTAGATTTTATATGACATACTGTATCAGACTTAATGTCGTTATTATAATGCACGAGGGCATATGCCTTTATCATAATTGAACAATCTGCCCAACAAATCAAACAATATGCCTGTTGATAAAAATACAACATTCACAAGAAGTTACGTTAAACACTGTTATCAGACACTTGTTGTTATAGGGAATTGGTCGATAGCTCTCAATGTAAGATTAATTTACAGTATTATACTATAATATATGGGCAACTGTCCATCAGGAGTAAATATTGAATGACTCACCAGGTCAGTCTTATATAGCCCAAATTGTATAGTATGGAAAGCCTTGACTGTCTTATGATTGTAAAAATGAACGTTGTTGTGTCACTCTTTCTTTATACAATGTGCATCCTTATATGAAGTCAACTGAACAATATATGATGTCAATGTGTCTTTATATGATGTCGACCATTCATTATACGATGTGCATTCATGAATATATTATGTGGTAGAATCATTATATACAGTCAACTTATCAATATATTAGGTCAATCTTTCATTATACGATGTGCATCTATTGTTATACGACCGCTGCTTTATATGAAGTGCAAACATCATTATATGGTGTGCTTCTGTCATTATACTGATATACTGATGGGGTTAAATTTACCGGGTTATATCTCACTATGCACCGTTCGTGGCGACAGCGGGAAAACTCAAAGTAAAATGTATCATATATTGTTAAGCTGACTCTATATAAAGACAATTCTACATTATAAAGTGTTGTTTTGACTCTATATAAGAATGGTTCCACATAATATATTCGTAATTGCACATCATATTATGAAAGACTGACATCATATAAGGACACATACACATCATATAATGTTTAGTTGACTCTATATAAATATGGTTCCATATAAAACATTCATTAATGCATATCGTATAATGAAAGACTAACATCATATAAGGACACATTTACATCATATAATGTTAAGTTGACTCTATATAAAGATGGTTCCACATAATATATTCGTAATTGCACATCGTATAATGAAAGACTGACATCATATAAGGACACATACACATCATATAATGTTAAGTTGACTGTATATAAAGATGGTTTCATATAATATATTCATTATTGCACATTGTATAATGAAAGATTGGCATCACATAAGGACGTGTTGACATCATATATTTTTAAGTTGACTCTATATAAAGACGGTTCTACATAATATAATGTTATTTTTGACTCTATATAAAGATGGTTCAACACAATATATTCATTAATGCACATCGTATAATGAAAGATTTGCATCATATAAGGACACATTTACATCATATATTGTTAAGCTGACTCTATATAAAGTCCATTCTACATAATATACTGAAAAATGCACAGTGTATATTGATAGATTGACATAATATAAGGAGACATTGACATCATATAATGTTGACTCTATATAATTATTATTCCACATAATATTTTCATAACTTCACATCATATAAGGACAGACTGACATAATATATTGTTATTCTAACCTTATATAAGGATGGTTCCACATAATATATTCAAAAATGCACATCGTATAATGATATATTGACAGCATATAAAGACACATTGACATCATATATTGTTCAGTTGACTACATATAAAGATGGATCCACGTAATATATTGACGAGTGCACGTTGTATTAGGAAAGGTTGACTCAATATATTGCAATTTGGACATAACAATGATCATGTTTATAATTATAAGACAGTCAAGGCTTTCCATAGTATAGAGCAAAATTGTTTCTATTCTTTGCCAATTTGATGTTTATCTTTGAGCTTTTGGATTGTCACCACCTTATTTTTAGATGATATTTTAGTTTAAACCAAAATTATTTAAGTGCGAAAGTATAGGAAGCTGAGCAATGAGTGTAAAGTTTCATGTTCAAGGAAACAACAGATTGCCTCTAACGTGGTTTGAACTCACACAGCTATAAATCCATAGATTAGTATTCCAACTCGTTGACCACTTGGCCATGTCGCCACACAGATGAGTATTTGCCCCTAGCCATTCAAGGTTCGTTTCCATTGTGTTTGCATGCGTTCAAGTGACTGTTGGCGATTCATGCAATTGAAGCGCTCTGAGATTGCACTGCGATTGTGTAATAAGATCCCAAGGCCTCTCCGTAACAACGTCATTTTCCGCTTTGGGAACATTGTAATATTCCCCATCATCATGAAAATATCAGATATTTATAAGGAATAACAGCACTCTGCATTGTGTGGCAAGAGCGTAATGGAAGGATGGTGGTTTAACGGATGCACCCGATTCTGCTTGCAAGAACGGAAAAATATTTTAGGTCTCCCACCACCATTTGAGCGGGGAAGTCGCAATGTGGTCATTTGAAGTTTTGTTGCGACTGATAATTTCTAAAGTTGCAATTTACATTTTCACGCAATAATATCTATGTTCTCGAAAACCATAAAACGTAGGACAATGTACTTGGTATTTATATATAAAGAAAGTTACCGTGCATATGAGAGGCTAGGTCTAGTTTGGATTCAGGAAACGTTTCTCACCAAAATTGATAACAATAATGTACTAACTGGGGCACAGAAAACATGATAAACAAGATCATCAAGGAAAGGCGGCGTCCAATGAACACAGAAGTCGCCATTACTCGTTTGTATTACTATACAAAGTCACTTGACACCCCGTGTTTATACGACAGTATACAATTGACAAGCTTTAAATCAAAACTTAAAAGAGTTTTGAAGTAAAAAAAAACTTAACCATACCATAAGACCGCTGACTCTATTTTTTAGAAATTTCTGTCGAAACACAGATTAGCCATGTAGACAAGCATGTACGATATTTTAATCAATTATTACATTATTTATTGCATATGAGGTCATTTTTATATTTGCCATACAATGTATATATATCTGGTTCTGGTACTGTATACTTATTTTTACTTATACGCAAATATGTACTTACGGTTAGACCTATAAAATGTAGCATTTAACATTATTATTATTAACATTTTTGTACAGAGTTTAAAGAAAAATGAACAATGGACAAGTACCACACACAGGATAATGTTGACAACTGCTGACAGCACATATGACGATGCAACAAAGTTCGACTTACAAGTATACGTAACAGACACCACCGGCCATGACAAACGAAGATCAGTCAGATCAGAGGTATGGTTAATTCCCATCCATGAGTTTCTTTCATGATTGCAAAGAGATAGTACTCTTTTAAATGAACCTTAACAATATTTGAAATGTTAAATTATGTATTTAAAAGTTTTTTTAAAGGTAGGCCTATATATTTCACTAGTTTGCTACAATATTTATTGATGACATTTTTGTCTAACAAATTGTACATGTGTCCAATAGGTGAATACTAATTTTCTTTTAATGTTTTTTTTTTGTTTCAGACTATAGGAACCATTCATGTGAGTGTATTTATTTTAATTTTACATGGCATTGGTTATTTAACATAAAGACGATATTCGCTAAGGAAGAAAGGAAAACTGTAGAAATTTCATATTAATATTTCATTATATCTTAAAAAGGAGGTCTTTATGGTTTTACTTATGGTCTAAATATACTAGTATTAAGCGATGAAATACACAAGAACATGTGTTATTATTTTACTATTATTAATTTACTGTTCTCTTTAGAATGATGCCATATTTGATGTAATTTCAGGTAAAAGTAACAGACAATAACAGACATCGGAACAAAAGATGTTACTCACACGTCGATCCACATATGAAAACTGTTGACGGATTGTAAGATAAAATTCATGTTTATTTATAATGTTATACTTAAGATTTGAAATGCTATTTAAATTAAATTTACAAGGAGAGGTTAAGCCTGTAGATTTTTTTGTTCAGTGTAAACATGTGTCAGTTGAATGATAATAGTCATTAAGTCAACACGTACATATTGATGTTCCTTATTGTTTGAAATCATTTGCTCATATGCAAAAACTCAGAGAGCCAATTGAATATTGAGTACAGAACAGTCATAAGTTTATCACTGATGTGTAAATAAACAACAAAGAAATCCATCGCCGCATGACTGATATGTATCGTCATTTTAGCCCGTGGCAAAGTGGTCGGAAGAAATTAAGCCTTGACACATTAGAATATGAAAGTCCTAAGGCAGTTGGCTTTTCTGATTTACTTTAATCCATGAACATATTGTTTGGCATGACAATAGCATCTGTCAGGTGGGTACCCAGAGACCTGGACATGCAAAATCAGATACTAGAGTAAAGAAAAGAGCTTCTACAAGTGTGCAATGCCAAACCATAAGAATTCATGATAAATTCAAAATTTCACAATAAGTGAATTCTGCTTAAGCCGGTACCAAGGGGCGTGGACAGTAACTTGCACTTTCCAATTACGTCCATGAACAGGCTCGATCAAACCGAGCCTGCAACATTATAAATTTTGTCTTGTTGGGCTTTCTATAGACATTCTTTATTTTTCTCTATTTTATCGCCACATCAGCGTTGTTTGTGCCGTGTGGAGGCTGTAAAAAGTCGCCCCGTATATTCAATCAGGGATTTTATATTTTCCATCCTTAAAGATTGTTCAGCACGACATTTTTGGTGTGTTTATGGTACTTTTAATCTTTTCTTTTTAGCATTTTTCTGTTTGGTTGGTTTCAATATTCCTACATGAATAAGTTTGAAAATCTGGAAACAAAGTGATCACTCGGAAGCATCAATCATAACAAAATTACAAGAGAATTGCACACTCGGTTTGATCGAGTCTGTACATGAAGGATAATAAATACATGCAACATCCAAACCTTCTTCAAATCTAAAAATTTAACCAAAAGTTTCATGTTCTTATTGAATCCCCCTTGTTACATGTTTTCTGTGTTTATTTAAGCAATATGCCTTTTAAAAATTTTGTTAAAGAACATATAACGCAAAAAAGAAATTGAAAGGTTACAGTGAATGAAATGTCAGTTATACCAAAACCTATAACGTTGATAGTATTAAGTATCATATGGGACAATAAACGTCAACGTAATCAAATATAGATGACTTAGAGGTTGCTAGTATGTATGAGATTTATGATTCATTTAAAGCATATCAATATACAGCAGATGATAAATGCTATTATTCATCATATAAACTAAATCACTTAAAACACTATCAATTTATTGTGTATGTTTCTGTTGCTGTTTGTGTGTGTGTGTGTGTGTGTGTGCGTGCGTGCGTGCGTGCGTGTGTGCGTGCGTGTGTGCTGTTTTTTGTTGTTTTTTTTCAAATGAAATATTTTATAAAAATGTCCATATGATACACTTTCTTTGCTTTTTTCATCTTTATTTTATATGGATAACGTACCCATTGAAAACTAGTCCTCTTTTTTAAAGTAAGCATATATTTTAGAATGGCTCTAATGAATTTGAACAGTTCGTCATAGTCGTATTATGATATATGTGTTTTACTTTTGAACCAGAGCAAGATTACTTTGTGATTGGGATGTTGCTTTTAATGGTCAGACATAAGAATTGCAGCCACAGTGTATCCATGTACGAGGCGATCAATAGGTTCTATGGATCACTTGGCTTCAGCAGGCGAGGTTGTTTTAAACCTGGTGTTGATTTTAAATTTATAACACCCGAAATTAGCCAGAATCATCTTTCCTGTCTCGGCACCAAATGTCATATATCGTGATGATGTGCCGTAAACGATACATATTTACAGACAAGACCAAGATTTCACTTAATATCTATTTTCAGGAATTATGAAGCTCAGGAGGAAGGAAATTATACATTATACAGAAACATAAAATACCAAACAGAGGTTATAGAATTCCACATAGCTCAATGAATATAATTTTCATTCAGACAAATCCCTTAAATTGAAAACTTTTGCAGTGGAGTGTTAAACAATGTGTCATATTTTTTTCGGCAGAAAACACATCGTTTATTACGCCGATACCTGATAAAGATACGATGGTTATATTATACAAAGCATTTAAATATGTGATAACTTCTTTTTGTAATTTTTCTTTGAATCTCTGTGTATTGAAAAGACAGTATTTTAACAAATTATATAATACAAAAGGTTAAACTTTTTGAAAAAGGGGAACAAAAAGATATACTAAGCGAGAAGGGCGTATAAAACTATTAAACTTTGAGTAATAATAGCCAGAAATTGTTTTCAGGTTCAACAGTCAGCTCAGTATTGTATGCCTGGGTCAAATAGCGGACCAGTGTGTGCATGTGGAATAGCAATAGCTGTTGGAGCAGATACTTTCATCTTTAATAAATGCTTTAACACCATATTCAAATTTGACCTGAAGTGTAATGAGGGTGGCCTTATTGATATCGACCAAGTGCACCCCTATCGTTATAGGGTCTGTATTTTATACTATAATAGGCGATTAAGTAAAATATCATCCATTATAAACAGCAAAAGTACATTGGCGTAGGCTTTAATTAACGCTTTCATAAATATAGACTACTTATCCGCTATTATGTTGAAACAACTACCTTTTGTTAACAAGTATTACCTGAAGAATTACGTAATAAAGAAAACATGTGTTACGGTCATATATCAAATATATCTGTCAATTTTATCTGGATCAAAAGATTCACAAAAGCATATACAATAAATAATTGAACTGTCTGAGTTGGAAGACTAAGTTATGTATTCCATTCTTAATGTAATATTCATTTCGTATAAATGTTTAGGTCAGAACGCCAATTGGTACCATTATCGAAATAACTTTTATTGGATGGAGTAACACACTGGACATTGATATATACATGTCTGCTAAAGATTACGGCAATGTTGATGGATTATGTGGAACATTTGATGGCGACAGAAGCAATGATCTTCTTCACAGAGACAAAAAAACCATTTCAAATGACAATAATCGGAGCTATCGCTTCGCAGATAGTTGGAGGTAAAGGTTATAAATTCAAACTGCCATCGCTCCATTTTGCAACGTTTCAGATTAAAATAGTTTCAATTTAAAATGTACTCTTTTGTGTTTAAACAAATGACATAATTATTAACAGATTGTTTGAACAAAACATGATTTACACTTGATCCTTTTTTCATGGCAGTGGCTTGCATTTACCTATTCCGTAAAAATCCAAATTTGCAGCTCTGGTTAAAAATGCAAATAACTGTTTATATATATAACCTGTTATTCATCTTAAACGTAACGATTAAACTATGAGTGGCGACGTTTATAAACGTCCAATATACTATTGAAGATATGTATTTAAGCCGGCGAATATGATGTATTACATATACTTAAAATAATATTGACCCCTGCTAAAACTGATAAAATCACAAAGTTTGTTCGTGAAAAATGCAACATTTTAAATGCTACCGTTTTAGGCGTTCTATGGAGATTTCGTTTTTCTCTATCTTCAAGCCGTAAGTATGAAAAAAATATATATTTAATGCATCAGATTGTCGGATGACGAAAACTTGTTTAAAAATGATGCACGTTTGTCGACACCATGGAACACAAGAATGAACGGAATAGCAGACCAGCCTTGTAGCAGGCCTAACTCTATTACAAAAAGGAAATGTAAGATTAATCGTAGAAATAGGCGAGCAACTAAAATTCCTGTACTGCAAAAACACAGGAGACGGACGTCTGAATCCCGAGAAAGAGTAAGAACTAAAATAAATTGCTAAGCTGTGCATGATCATACAAATTTGATAAATTATTCATGCGTTAACCTTATATATTCTAAAAACATTATAGTCTTTCATCTGCTAAGTCTTATGCTAGAAATCGCTTAGAAAGTAGACTGTGTTTACTACTGTCGTCCATGAACAGGAACCTGAAGTATATATAAATGTACCATTCTATGCCATCTTTAGGCTATACTTTCTTGTTCTTTCCACCTTTCGTGGTATCTCTCGTAACATAAATTACATGTATACAGTTAATATTAAACTGCTTGCATCATATGTGCATATCAATTATTGAGCTTATCTTTGTCTTGTAAACATTTACCAGAGGAGCACAGACAGTTTCACAGAAGAAGAAGCATTTGCACTGTGTAACAGCTCCATTTATAATACTCCAGCAGTTATGGAGTTTCCGGACTACCTTGCCGAAGAAGACCCGGATATAATTGTTGAACAATGTGTTTATGATTTGATTGTGAGTTGCTAACAGCAGTATTTGCTTTATGTAATATATGGTTTTACAGAAGTAATATTATATTATTTTGCAATCATACCTAACCAGCATTATGCGAAAAACGAATTAAATGACATGTTTTACAACGTAATTAAATTGAACAATAAACTATGATACAATGTAAAACCGTACGGTAAGTACATTGCAATAAATGTAAAACAAGACAGGTATTAATACATTTCAGCATGGGAACGACACAGGCTGGGTAGATGCACATGTCACTAATGTAAACAATGTCGCAGATACTGTTCTAAATCTCAATCCTGTATTTGTTACAAATAATACAGACAAAGTTAACACCTTTCGTTTGCAAATCTGTTTGAACAATTGTAGTGGAAATGGTGGATGCCTTGAGACAGGTAAAATAATTTCTACACAAAAGATTTAAATTTAGTTATATGAAAATCTTGATATGAATTGCCTTACTTACTCTAACATTATTAAACATCTATTTAATTCAAACATTCATTAGGTTTTTCGTTTAATTGATTTGTCCCTGTTAAATATTCCATCTTTTTGTTTTGCTTTGTGTAAGACTTCATTGCTTTTTGTTTTTGTAACTTTTATCAAAAAAGATGTTAGATTATTAAATGATACATCATTAATATTTGTTTGTTAAGTATAAATCTTTTTTTAATTTAAACAATATATTCCTTAAGATAGAGTGTATATAAATCTTTGAAGTACAGTGTTTTTATATCAGTCGTTTCCTTTTTGATTTAGGAGTGTGTGAATGTCATGGAACATTCCGTGGACCCGACTGTAGTGATGACATAAGAATACCTCCTGTAGTTTATGGTATAGAAGGAAACGGGATCTGTGAAATCACAGATGAGGATGACTGTACTTGCTTCGAAATCAGATCTGATAACATATTTGATGGTTTTATGTGTGACATAAGTATACATAGGGTTTGTTTTCTCTTTTTTTCAACGCCTTTATTTCAGGGTGAATACATAGCCTGATACATTTTAGAATTTTATTGATCATTTTATATACATAACAGCAGAGTATCTTTGTGCAAATTGAGCTTTGAAAAAAATACTATTTTTCATGAAGTCATAAAAAATAATACACATGGGACATATGCTATTGGATCATAAGATAATTTAACATTTCCATAACATGTATATATGAAGGTATATCTCAATGGTACTCGAGTTAAGATGGATCAAACTATGCATACTGGTTACTATGAGGATATCTTCACTGGCGAGTGTTGCGCACCTGACAGTAGAAAAAGGCGATCTGAAGGAATCAACGATGATGGTCCCTTTGTTATCTCGTATGAGATTTCCGTCAGCAATGATGGTGTTGCCTATGGTGAAATCAACACCGTCTTTGTCTATGATACTACATGTTTGAAACAAAGTTCAAGTCAAGAGAATATCACCATTTATCTGAAGGTTAATAATAGAATATTTGTTTAAGTGAATAGGTTAATATTGAAAGGCTTGTAATGCAAATAGTTATTTTGATAGTATTTAGTATTAAGTATAACAACAATCCACGAAAGTGTGAGATACATATATATCATATATTGATTTGTTTATATTTACCATAAAACAAAATGATTTAGAACAAAATGTCATTATAATTCTCATACTATATCACTGTTAACTTCATTAACACTTTTTCAAGCAGTATTTCATGATATAATTCTATTCTTTTTGTGTCGCCTTTACATGGTAGTAGCGACCTATAAGGACAACTCCTTCGCCTGTCTGTCCGCCTGTCTGTATGTCTGTTCGTCCGTCACAAAAATTATCCGGACTATTCCTCATAAACTACCGGTGCAATTTAACCAAACTTTACAAAAATGATGGGTTCTAAGTCTAGTTGTGAATATCGTTGGCATGGCAATTCCGACGTAATGATGTTTGTCAGAGTAATAGCCTTTTAATGTTTTATTTTTAAAATTTGCCCGGACTACTTATCTTATATTATAAATGCAATTTCAATGAGACTTTACAGGATTGATCTGTTGCTCAGATTGTGTTACCAGCTACACAAAATATTGTCCGGAATACATCTCAGGAACTACTGGTGCAATTCCATCCAAACTGTTTAAGAATGATCAGTACCAAGTCTAGTTGTACATATTATCGCCTTTTCTGGTTCAACGATTTTGTCAGAATTACGATCCTTCAATTCTTTTACGACAATTTCAATGAAACCTTACAACATTCATTTGTCACTCAAGTTCTTGCGCATATTACATGTGTTTTACGCTTCAATGACTTTAGGCTGAGTAATAACCCTTTAATGAGTTTTTTTAAAGTTTGCCCAAATTCTCCTCATATTCCACTTATGCAATTTCAATGGAACTTTATAGGATTAATCGGTAGCTCAAGTTCTTGAGTAAAGTACACGCATTGTCCTGTTGAAGGATTTTTGACCAAGTTATGGCTCTTGAATACAAAATACGCCCTTTGCCCTGTTAATGATTTTTTGTCCCCTACTACAAAGAAGCAGCAACATGCAATTGACTATCATGAGGCGACACAATTGATCACTGATCGCCCTTGGATGCCTTTTTTATACTTATTTACTGTAAGTAAGGACACAAAATATTTAAAGATTTTAAAATATACGGATTTTCATTCCATAATAAATACACATTGAGGGTTATCCCTTTCAATAAATGGCATTCGTTTTTAAGGAATGGACAATTTCATAAAAATAGGTCACAATGAACTGTAAGACTTTTGACACGCTTGCCTACAAAATGTGTAATCATCTGTGACAAAGTTAAAAAAAAGAAAAAAAATATGCGGAAAAGATACAATATCTTTCAGAACCTCTATCATTTTTATAAGTCTGAAATATATATATGCTATAAGAGACATTCATCCGGAGAAATACATAAATATGCTCTAAAATGACATTATTTATTTGGAAGAAATACATCCATTCAACTTGGAATGATGAAATGATGAAACTATAGTGTAAAGGATAAACTCGCTAATTATTCAATGAGAAAAATAAAATAAAAAAGGAAACTTAGCATATTGCAGAATATATTTCACAATATTAGAATTCGAAACAGAAGTACTGTTATATTTTCTCAAAACGAGGGTTATTACAGAAATATTAATACAGATTAAGTGATACAGCAAACTATTTGCCTTTAAGATAATATAAAGATAAAGTTTATTTCTCCAATAGGATGGCTACTGCTTTATCAACGGGATGTGTGTAGGTCGTAACTTTTTGTCAGCGGTCGATTGTTTACTTTGTGACCCAGAGTCAAACCTTTACGGATGGACGAATGGTAAATATATCTAATTTCTTATTTTTAAAGAAATTATATTATTTCACAATTATTAATTGCATTTACTCATCAACGGAATGGTATAGCAAACTTAAACACATTTTTCTTTGGTGCTTGAAAAAAGAACAGATACCGGTGCATATAGATATTTTTCCTCAAATATGTTTTACTATTGACAGGTCTCAAAAAGAATTGGCCGAGTACTCCGAACAAAGTTCAATTTGTTTAATATAGTGCGGTGATTTAATTTGAATCGAGCAGATAAAAAAAACTAGAATTGCCCAAAGAGTGGTCCGACAGAATTACAGATCATGTTAGAAATCTACAAAGCACCAACTGAAACAAATACATGGAAGCTCATGAATTAATTTAGAAAATAAAATCACTAGATTGACTGAGGTCAACTCGACACAAAACCTGCACTCATAATCTTTACATTTTGTTATCATAATGTTTTTGTTGACCATTTTCATGGATGATGAAAGTACACATATTATAGGAAAGCTTTGACTGATTGATTGATTGATTGACTGATTGACAAACATTTCAGGTACCTGTGAAGAGGGAGATTCACAAATGATAACAGAAATGATAATTGGAATTGCTGTTGGGTGTACTGTTGTTGTTGTCGTTATTATTTCAGTCCTTTTTGGTTACCGTGTGTGCTGCAAGAGATCAAGAAAAAAACGGTCATTATTTGTTTTCATGACTTAATTTATTCATATTAAATGTTGAGTTCTGCTTAAGCCGGTGCTACGGGGCTTGGACGGTACCTTGCAATTACCACCACCGCCCATGAACAGGCTTAATGAAACCGAGCCTGCAACATTTTTTAGTTTTTGCCGTGTTGGGATTTCTTTAGCGATTCTGTTTGTATTTAATCATCGTTTGTAATTCACGAATAGTGTTAATATAAAAGAATGTCAAAGAGAAATGTGTAAGTAATAATTAAATTTTATATCAGCTTGTAATTGCCTTTTGGGTTTTCATTTTTTTATTTAAGTGCAAAGGTGATCTTAAAATTGAAACATAATTCGATATTATTTCCTATTTGATTTCAGACAAGTTCACGACTCCAGCGTAAGTCTTCAAACAAAAGTGTCAAGTATACAAGCTCTTCCCGGAGATCTTCCTGGAGCCCTTCCCGGAGCTGGGAAAACCTCATTCATGTATTACAAACACAAAATATAAGTAAACATTATTTAAGACGATGTGAAGTTCTGAACACTTACAGGTTTAAGAACAACTAAAATTTCGTTTTATTTAGCTGAAAATACACTGATATCATGCAAAGTTATCATCATGGTACGATGTATACAATTCATGCGAACGTTCTCAATGGCTTTATCATTACAGATTTCAACACATGCAATTCATTTGTTTGATGATGATTAGCAAAGGCATGTCATGTCAAAACTAAAATTCATTTGAAAAAGCTTTTAAAGTATTAAAATAAAATTAAATATGTTTTCTAAACATTTAGTGTGCCATTGCAAACCGCATTTTACATTTGGAAACACAACATGATGTTTTACAAAAGAAAAATGTACAACGACAAACTATATTGTGTTTGAAATCTTTTTCAAAAAAGTGACTTTTCAAATGTACATAAGTATAATTTGTAAACCGGGTTGGCAAAAAGCAACGGGTTGAAGCAATGTTAAACTATTGATATAATTTTTCCAATAAAATAAATAAGAATTAACAGAATGATTTAACTTAATTTTTTATCAGGATTATGTATCATGCTCTTGTCATTTAAATTGTCTGAAATAATCTTTTGTGAAATATCAATGTTGATAGTAAGATATCAACCGTTGCCAAAATCATAATATAAGGCATGTCCCTTAGGTCAGGAATGGTCTCACTTTTAACATTTGAAGCAAAAGCTAACATAGCAAGAATACAAGTATTCTAAATGACTTAAAATGACTTAAGTATAAGGATGAGAACGATAAACCTTCAAATATTAAATTTCTATCCTGCTTCTAAATAGAGTATATGAGTTTTCTGTACATTTGACTAGTAATTAGTTATTTTTTCGAGAGGGTAAGAGACTTTGGTAATGTAAAATATTGTTAATGTAGTTATATGACTTTTTGTAAAATATCATCTATTAGTGATAAGAGAAGTGCAAATCGAATCCTACATCAATGACACGTTATTTTAAACCTTTACCATCGTTGTTTATTGATGCTTTGCTTTCAAAAGAATTTTATCTTAAAATAAGCATTCCATATTATAATAAAGTCGACAACGGATTTTTAAGGGTACTCTTCAAAGTATCTGTTACATTAAACGGTTGTATATGTAATATGTTGTAAATATGTTATTGTATCAGTTGTTGGTTTTTTATAGTGCTTTATTGTATTTTTCTTGTTTCATTGAATAAAAGTGTGTTTGATTTGATTCATTTTTCCCTTCAACTGATCAAGCTTTTAGTTTACGAATAAAAATCAGTATTTTAGCGTAACAATGATGCTTAAAGCATAAGTAAAGATTTGTTCTGTATAGAGAAGTTGGCCTATAATTGTTTATCTGCAACAACGAAATTACATAGGACAATAAAAACTGTTTCAAGGTGACCTTATTAAACAGCAATGAAAGCAATTAATGGAGATGAAACAAGCCAAACTATAAGAACTGTTGATATTATGGAAGTAAGGGAAATGTGGTTTGTGTAAAAAGTGAGATTTTTCTATTGCATTCATGTATGCTACATTACATGTATTTCCTAAAAGCAATTCCGTTATACTGTATCTCTTCTTTAGTATTTTATGTAAAAATAAAATGATAATGAATGTTCATAGTATGAGACTTCCGACCGCACATACTGTAATTTCAGCCTAAATAAACTTTCTATTCACCAATTTTTATTTGTGGTACAAATACACCGGTTGTAACTGGTTATATATTAGACAACAAAAAAATTCAGTGGGATTATCCTAGGATATGTGAAAAATTGCTACATGTCATTTTTCCTTTGACACTAAACAAACATATGTTGTAAAAAGCGTGTACAATCCATATGTGCATTTATGTAAATATTTTTATGGTGGTCAAATGCACATGGTCATTTGATTAATTGATTGTCAAACTATAATCATAAAATGATACAATTGTACGTCTTACAATTATCAGAATTTCTTTAAGGGAGGATTTACGCACGCGTAAAATGGTTGCAGAGGAATGGTCAGCTACACTTAGAGTGTAAAGCTTATGTATTTGAAAGTTTTTATATGCTTGTATTTTATTGACGGCTCGCAAAAAAAAATGTCATTCGGCAGTAAGTCTTATTCAAAATTATAAAACTGGGTTGGTGGCTCTGGTCACTCATATCCATCTATAATGTTGATGTGTAATATGTAATACATATCGATCTTCAAATTTCAACTAATATCTTAATTTAAAGAGGCATTTACGATTTGGGAGATAGAAGGTCTCTGAAAGACAACTATAGGAGAGGACGGAAACGAACATCGAACGCTAGGACAGTGAAGAGTCTGATTGGGGAGATCCGTAGGTTGACTTTACGCGACATTTCATCACAAGTAGATGTTAGTTTTGGCAGCATCCATTCCAGTTTGGAAAACCAGCTGAAAATGACAAAAAAAATCACGCGGCACAGAAAGTGCGGTGTTAATAGCGAGTACTTTGAAAAACGCCGACTTGCAACTAAAGAGTGATAGTTGAAATGTCATCTTTATGTCGTTAGCGTGCGCCGGTACCATTGCACTAACCATCTAAAGATTGTGTAATCAAATTTACTAGAAATATAGGATAATGCCAATATATAGTTACTATGTATATCTATTCTCAGTATTAGTACAAATTAGATAAATATAATGAATTGTAGTTTTATCCACTCCCGTATATAATTCATTTGTTAGCATTATTCTTGTACCTTAACATTAAATGCACTTGTCATAATAAACTTATTGGAATAAATAAAACGTTAGAACTGCTAACGACTATAAAATGTTTAAAAAACCAAGCATCGGCTAAATTACTGATACAGGAGGCAAGTTTTTTTCCATATGTATCCTGCTTTAATCTGATCGTTAATATGTTTAACATTGCGCTGATTAAATTCAAATAAGATGTACAACATTCAAATTGATACATCTTTGTAAATGACTTAAAACAATGATTGCTTATTTACTTCACGCAATGTTTTATAACATTAAAAAAAACTACAAATATTTGCATTAATTGTTGCCCATTAGTACGACGAAAACGTAACCTGATCTTAAATGCGATTATGTTAATAAATAAGTGGTATCATATAAGACGCATTGAGTTCGTTGATATTCTATTAAACGGTTTCAATTTTCGTTTTGTAGCACGCATATATGATAAGTAAATACCGTTGTATTGTAACTTTTTCTGTTGAATAATTCTTTGTTTTATGCTCCTTTAAATTTGATCAAATGATTATGTTATCCTTTTTAAAGACAATGCATTCAACAAGAATATCAAAATCCATTATTTCATTTTGAACGTAATTTTATGTAGATAATGTCAGACATTGTATTGATAATGTCAACTTGTTTACAGATTATTTGTCATTATTATTTGATGTATTGTTCCTTGTACATAATATAATTTATTTCCGCTCAACTTCATATTCTTTTTGCTAATATCATTTTTAATGCTCTTTATAATTGATATTCCATTAGTTTTTATCACCGTCTTGTCAAACTAAATTATTAAATTAAAAGATTTTACATTTTGTATATTTGTAAGCATTTTTTTAAATTTTGATAATAATACACATTTAAACGACTTTGTTTACATCCATCTGCACTTAAAATATTGACTTATATTCAATCAACACAATCCCTCGGACACATGTACCACTACAAAGTTGTCACACCGTCTTAATGATTGACCAGGTCCTTTTGACACATGATATTTAGATGGCATGCACTGCCCTGCTGTGATCATACGTTTTTCTTTATTTTCGATGCTTTTTTACTTTGCCTTTTATTTCATTTTATTTATGCAATTGCGCAAGAATTCAGCATATGTTATACACATGTTTGATTCAACATAATTTTTTCATACTGACGTTTCTATGCTTCTGCAAATCAATTGGTAAAACACCATTTAGGGAAACAAATATTAGACGAGAACCATGTGCATTTATTATTCTAATTTGTCCATGTGATCAAATTCAGAATCATAATTCATGGCTTTGACCTAATACAGAATAACAATTTATGTAGATTAAATTTATTATAACATTTTAAAAATAAGATTTTGCAAAAAAATAACTAGAATCATTTCAACATGTTAAGGTTTGCGATTTCAATTTGATATAACTGCAGAATTGTTGAATTGTTTTTTTTTTCAGTGCTTTACAATTGTAACAATTATCAAGACAAAATAATCTAACTTGTCTATAATGCAATTTAAGCCAAATCTTTCGTGTTTCAATAGAACCTTTGTACTCCTTGTATACTTTAATATTGCCGTAGCTGACTTTAAATATAGGTAGCAATCGAAATGGATGCACCTATCGTTTTGATAGGTCTTTTTGTAATAGGTTTACAAATGGACTTTTCTGTTGCAGGTTTGTGTTTTTAGACATTAAATATATCTCTTTTTAAAAGTAACATATTTTGAATATGGTAGTCGGTCAGCATAATTGTACTGGTTTACATAATCAATTTATTCTTTTTTACCTAATTATTGGAGATTATGGATAGGTTTTGCGATGTCTTAATAAACCATTGTCTTGAAATCGAATGACAACTATTTAAAAGAAAATCCGCAACATAAAGAAACATCAATAGAAAGTATTGAATACTCGTGTATGTTTAATCTTTTAAATAACTTAAATAGTATTTAATTATAAGCGATAACTTTTAAGCGTAATGCATGATTAATACTTTATGGGATTAAGAGGCCAATGTGACAGTGACTGAGTCACTTCAGTCTGTGTTTCCGTGCAGAATAAGTAAGTAATTTATTTATTATAGTGACATGTGTAAACATATTTAACAAATTCTAATACAATATATTACATACACCCGGCCCAATGGGCCTATAAGTCACCTTCAATAAACATGAGATATTTACATAAAGTCATAAGTAAATATATTAACAAATTCATTTGTAAAAAATCGTAGCTATAACTATAAGTTATAAGATTATCTGTAAATGCTTTCACGTCTGTACAAGTATGATTTGACAATGTATTTAGCAAGAGTTCTAGATTTGTTATTTATCAAATAAACTAATTTTTCTGAATCAGTCTTTGAGTTAAAATCATTTGAATTAAATAGTTCACCAAAGTATTCAGAACGTATATGTCTATAAAATGAGCACTTTACTATAAAATGTTCTTCGTTTTCGATACACTGATCGGTACAAAATCTACAGAGTCTATCTTCAACACGTTCACCAATGTAGCGTCCTGTCTCAACGCGTAATGGCAAAATGCCGCATCTTAACTGGGCAAGAAGTGATCGTTCGTTTCTTTTCATACTTAAAGAGACATACTTTTCAGTTGCAAACTCTGTTTTGAATGAAGTATAAGTCCTTAGTTTTGACATGTTTTCAATTCCGATTTTCCATATGCTACTATAGTATTCAAAGATCTTAGAGCGCGCAAAGTCAAGATTTATAACCATCTTGTTGTTGTAGTACTCTGATAAACCGATTAAGGATAATATTTCTTTCAAATCACTACACCAATTATTTGAACATAAACTATAATCCATTTCAAATATATTCCTTGTTATACGATTTTCATTGAATGAAAGAAGTCTATTCCAGTAACGGATAATATTAATCCACCGTCTATAATTTCCCGGCAGCCACGCGACGTCTCCCGTTATGGCAAGTACAGGTGCAAAACGGTGAACACCCAGATAATACCTGATTGCTCGATGCTGCACATTTTCTAAACTCTGGAATTTCCGGTATCCCCAAACGCCAGAGCAATAATCTAATATTGGTACTACACACGAATTATACAGTTTTTCAAAGGTTTTAATACCGATAGATTTTAATGGATGAATTTTTGAGATTATCTTGCCGAGTGCTCTTCCTGCGCCTTTTCCGAGAGTTTCTGCATTACACGAGAAATTTCCATTACTGCTGAATACAACGCCAAGATACTTGTAATTCTGAACATTTTCAAGCAAGTTATTTCCTATTCTAAAGTCCTGCGTCGTTTGCTTCGCTCTCCCTTTCCGGAAGTGAACGCATTTAGATTTTTCACTGTTTATCAGGACGCGCCACCGCTTACACCAATCATGAAGTGTATCTAATAGTATTTGAAGGTTGCTTTCTGTTTCTGCTAGTAAGACAATGTCGTCTGCGTACAGTAATGATGAGATCTTTTTTCCTCCTATTTCGAAACCAATATTTAGATTCTCAATTTCTTTCACGAAATCATTTATGAAAACGGAGAAGATTGTCGGTGACAGATTGTCTCCCT